TTTGAATCTGTAGTTTTGAATATGGATCTTAAGTTGGCGTGACGTTGAAGCAGCGACCCTGCTGTAGTTTGTTTATAGCATAACGTTAGCATTTTGCTCCTGGCGACTAGATTTATGATTCGAAATTATAAAAGTAGGGTAGACATGTGGATATTATCCGGCTGAACAAAACGTGATCCGTCTCTTAAATGTGTGTCAACCACAGACCTTATTTCCAGTTATTTTCCAAAATCCTATGGAGAAATTGCATTGCTTTTTTGTCTAAGGAACCGGAAGGAGTTTACTTCCGGGTTTTAGGACGCGTCACTGTGGCACTCTATAGTCTCAAACTAGCATAGTTTGAAATGGAGTGATTACTGTACCTGTTGCGAGCACTAGATCAGGCTTGATCACTTCAATTGTTTCAGTGCAGAACTTTTCAAAGTCAGGAATGCGTCTTGGGTCGTGAAATCTGCTTATGTGAATGTCGGAAACCTTGAACCAGACAAAAAACATGACAATATAATGAGAATCTGTGTGTTATTTCATATTAAGCTGAAACTGAATCTTTTGCTTTGTGACTGACAAAACAAGACATTAAAAGACAACACCTTGGACTTAACTAACAGGGATGGACATTCTTAAAGTCTATTTCATTTTCAGAAATGTTAAAGAAAAAATAAGGATTGATCAATTAATAGAAAAAATACGCTGCAGATTTACCAATTATATAAATATGTAGTTGTTGTAGCCCTTCTACTAATTGACAGACATATTCACAAATGGGCCACTTTACATAATGAACACATTGAAAATGTACCTTAAGGACCAATGGGCAATGTAACACTATTGTTCTTTTAGTTATTAAAGATATTGAATGTAGGACTGTTACTTGGATATTTTTTTACCCCTGTATGATTGCTATTTTTTAACTCAAGTAAAACACAAAAGGTGAAATTTGACAACAACTTACTGTGTTGCTGAAGCACATTTTTAACCTGACAAAGACACACTTCTGTGGTCACTGACCTCTTTCTGTCAATCATTCAGAGAGGGTTCAGAGTGTGACCTACCACAGCTAGCTTCCTATGACAACACTGCTGAGCCAAAGGAAGCCAGGTGTTAAACAAGTAAGACTATAATATTAAAAACAGGAGATATGGTTGAATTGTAAGGGGATTTAACTCCATTTATGGTAAATGACCAACAGAGGTTGAAGAAGTTCTCAGATCATGTACTTCACTAAAAGTAGAAGTACCAGTTACAAGTTAATGTCCTGTATTCAAAATGTTACTCAAGTAAAAGTATGCAGATTGGCCCAGTTCAAAAATAATACATCATAAGTTTGGAAATTATTGAAGCATTAAGGGGTTTATCAAAGCACATAAAAGGTGCTACTTTTAATGATTTTGTGTACTGCAGGATAGCTTTGGAAATGTACTCTTGGTGTAACTAAGGTCTTATTTAAGGGTTGATTATATTTCACATCATTAATCCAAATCTGCAAAGTAACTAATAAATAAATGTAGTTTAGTCAAAATATGATTAACCTCTAAACTGTATTGGAGTAGAAATACAAAGTAGCAAGTCAAGTACAAGTCTCTAAACATTGTTGAGTAAAGTACTTGAGTAAATGTACTTAGTTACTTTACATCACGGAACAGATATATGGCTGAATTGGGAGGCTTTAATTCATTGTATGGTAAATGACCAAAGACTAAATAAAGCTCGTTAGCGACACACAGAATAAATCCCACCTGTATAAACCAGAAAATATTGCTCAACTCGCCGTCGGGAAATGGTGGAGAGCTCCCGGTATGTTCCTCTCCATCCCCGGCAGTCGGGTGCTGGATGCTCCGCTTCGGGTGCCATGCCGTGTCGTAGCTGTCCAGCACCCAGGAGGTGATGCACGCCATGGCCAGCCCGAGAACCACCAGCGCGGCGAACAGCTTCAGCATCCTCCTGGAGAGAGGCCGTCTGTCCCGGGCAGAAAAACAGCTAGCTACTGGTGGGAAACAGCTACACGAATCACCAGGCTAACATTAACTACGGATACTGTGAGGCATTTAGCTACATAGCTACGATGTCAGACCGTCTCTGTCGCTGCCATCGCGGCCCCGGGAGATGCATGGAGGTGCGGGGGGGTTCATCCACGGCTCTCCGCTCAGCTGGAGGAGGAGGAGGAGGAGGAGGAGGAGGTAGCGGGTTAGCTGACTGCTAGCTGCCTACCAGCTGCCACAGACAGACCCGTGGATGTGAAAACGTCACCAACTGAATGTTGGCAGGAAGAGCTCCCACTCTGAGAGAAAAATGAGGAAAGAGAGCTCCCACTCTGACAACGTTTTCCGGGAACCGTAACAAACCAGTTTTTTCTTCTTTGGTGTTTATTAACAGTTGGCAAATCAGTCTAAAAGTGCTATAACGCCACCAACTGGTGTTGAGCGTACAACAAAACCATAGACAATAAATCAGAGGTGTCCAAACTTTTTTCACCGAGGGCCACATACAGAAAAATATACGAAGGGCTGGGCCACTCATAAGTTCAGTTATAAATTAGCTAAATCAATGTAGGTACATTTTGCTTGTGAGTGTTGGCAGCTCGTCCATTAAAACAGAAGCCTCAGATTGATTATAATAAGGAGAAATAGGAAGGGTGTATTTCAAGCGTGTTATGTAAATAAGTAATTGGGCTTTTTTTTCTTATCAACTAAGATATGTTAGAAAATGTTTCCAACTTTAATTGACTGAATTTATTTGAAAAGTGGTCTTATTAACACATGAATACTACTGTGTAATATATATTTACATTTATAGTTAAGAAGTACAATATAAGACAATCACAAGTTTCATTTGTGGGCCATATTCCATTGTAGGCCTACTTTTTTAATTAGCTGAGGGCCAATTCAAAATGGTCCGCGGGCCGCATTTGGCCCCCGGGCCGTAGTTTGGACACCCCTGCTATAAATACAACCAAACACTATGCAGGAATACAAACTCTAAATTTCATCAACTATACATACTTTTAAAAACTGAATAATGTCCCACTATTTGCTGCCTTTGTTTCCCCAGGAGCAGTGGTGGGAGAAGTTTTCAGGTCTTGTACTTAAGTAAAAGTAGAAATACCAAAGTGTAGGAATACTCTGATACAAAAGTCCTGCATTGCAAATGTTACTCAAGTAAAAGTTCAAAAGTATTGGCATCTAATATACTTAAAGTAACAAAAGTAAAAGTACTTATTATGCAGTGTAGTGGACTGGAGTAGAAGTATACAGTAAGTAACATAACATGGAAATACTCAAGTAAAGTACCTCAAAATACTACATAACAAGTAAGTACAGTACAGTATATGTACTTAGTTGAAGGTCGATAACAACTAAATGTGTTTATTTTAAAACGAAATAATGTCACAATATTTGCGGCCTGTGTTTGTCTACAGTGGGTGCATTTCCCAGTATAATTTCATATAATGAGTGCTTGAGATCTGTATGACCTACCCTCATGTGAGTAATAATGTTTTCCTCCCCCTTGTTTCTTCCTGCAATTGCAATTTCGAGGAGTTATGGGAATGACAATATAATCCAACCTTTGGGAGGGGTTCAAATCAATTTCCTGTCATGTCAATATATTGATGCCAATGGGAAAGTGGTGAGATTGGTTACATGTTACTAGTTTGTAAACTTTGCAAAACAAAGCTGAACCAGGTTTGAAAACCTATATAAAAATGGTTAAATAGTTGTATCTATTAAAACAGCTGTGTTAAATGACTTCAGCTGTAAGTGCAAAAACATCAATAAGGAAAGGATTTTTTTTTTTTAAATTGTATTGGAAAATAAAATAAACTGGATGAAATGTTGTCAGAGCTTTGTCAGATACATATATGAGTTAATGTCGCCTTCTAGTGGTGGTTTTTAGTTTTTTTTAACCTTCATAAATTAAGATAATTAAGACATTTTTTTATTAAAACACGGATTTATTTATCTGTTTTAATTTGATGTCAATACTGAATAGCTCCAAAAAGTATTATAAGGTTGCTCTTATGAGATAGACAAGATATTTAGAAATATATATATACAAAAATGTCTAAAAGTACAGACAGATTCACATTTTCCAATTATGAAAGCAAAAAAAAATGATTATCCAATCATAAATGTTAAATGTTAAATGTAGGCTAGTCATCTTCTTTATTGAGGTGGACATTTTAGGATTATTTATTTGATTAAGTTCATTTTTTTGTCAAAAATTTGACCTTTAAAGAAACTATAACAATCGAAAATGTTAGTTTTAGATGTATATTAAATAATACTGGACTAGATGGTCAACCTGCAAAAAAAAAGAAAAAACATCTGTGATTTTGTAACGCGCGCTCCCGTGACACAGCGAGCGCGCTTTTAAAGACCCCGTGTCGCGCGCTCGATCTTGTTGCGAGGGGCAATGGAATCGGGGCCGCGCACGCAGGAAGGCTGATGACCATCACACTCTCGTCACGTCACGGATCCGCAGCGGCCGATAGAGATGCTGAGGTGACAGCAGGCAGAAGGAGAACAGGGACGACCAACACTCCGACATATTCCACCCTGTAAACCTGCTTATTATTCTCTAACATTTTCTACAAACGCGACCACCGCCGCCATCTCTTCTTCATGGACGGCTCCCTCGCGATGGGATTCCGTTCAATGTCGTCCCCTCCGCCTCCAAAAGCAGAGGATTTGTTGTAACCACACCCGGCTGGATTGGATCAAGGATTGGCAGCAAAAACCCGAGGTAAGGATTCAGAAATCAGGAGGCCGTGCTTGTATATATGCTCTGGCCCTTTCTCGCTTTCGCCCCATTGTCCAAAACACCTCAATTCGTTGTCGCGTGCAACGGCATGTTTGTTATCCTGCATGTTGTCAGCAGCTCACAGTATATATAACCTCCTCCTACACAGCCAGGCGGGATGAGGGTGCGTGTGGCGGCCAATGTGCGTGGACGCGCCTGAGTAAATCTGCTGTGGCAACCAACTCTCTATGCAACAGTCAGTCCACCGCAGGGAGGGCACATAGTGGTTATATTTTTGGAAGACTATACCATGATAAATATATATGGGGACATTGCTGCAGATTTCTACCTGTCACATCCCATTGCAACCAACTAACCAGAGGTTTGTCTTTTCTTTTTTGTTGTTGCACTAATGGCTCTTAAAATGAATACATTTGAGGCACTCTCCATTTAAAGTAATTACCAGTGGTGTAAAGTACCTTAGCACATTTAATCAAGTATTGTACTTAAGTGCAATTTGGAGGGACTTGTACTGTACTTGAGTATTATTGTTTTTGCTACATCGTACTTTTACTCCACTAGAATTATTTATTACCTTTGAGTTATTTTTGCACAATTGGAATAATAATGTGAAATATAAACACCAATTAAATAAGACTTTAGTTCCACCTGGAGTACAATTCACAAGCTACCCTGCAGCATACAAAGTAATTACAACTAGCTGCACCTTTACCAGCTGTGATTAAACACATCCATAATTATAATCAAGACATATATTATATATTATTCTGAAATGGACCATTTGCATAATGCGTACTATTACTTTTGGTACTTTAAGTTTATTGAAATGCCAATACTTTTGTACTTTTATTTGCGTAACATATGCATTGTAGGACTTTTACTTGTGACAGAGTATTCCTACACCTTGGTACTGGATCAGAGAACTTCTCCCACTTATGCAGATAGGTGGTTTAATTTTTCGAAGACTAGCATGATAAATATATTGGGACATTGCTGCAGATTTCTACCTGTCACTTTCCATTGAAACCAACTTGCCAGAGGTTTTTCTTTTATTTTCTGTTGTTGCACAAATGGCTCTTAACATAAATGCATTTTAGGCACTCTCCATTGAAAGTAATTACCCAAACTGCTCTTAAGGTGAGTGCATCCTTGATAGTTAAGGCTTCAGTGGCGCCATATAAAAACACACTTATCCTTTCACAGTTTTCTTCAGACTAGATCAATGTTATCCATGCTGTGGCCGAGTGTGGAGGCCCCCCCCCCCCCCCATGCTGGCTCCTCTCCAGGGCTCAGACCAGACACTTATTTCAGCCAGCAGCAGCAAGACAAGTGTCCCAGACCTGCTACTGAGTCAGGCCACACACAGATTAGACTTAATTAAGCAGATTTTCAGTGGAGTTATTAAGCCATGTGTTGTGTTGCACATGCAGTCATAGCGTGCTTCCGGGATCAGAGCTCACTCAACAAAAAATGAAGTCGATTAACAGTAACACAGGAATCCTCTGTGGGTGGCAGCACATTTCATGATGCTTTATGAAGCCGTAAAAACGTGCAGCTTTCAGCAGACCCAAAGGGCAGCGGCAACGACAAGCTGCAGTCAGCAAATGAGAAAAGGACTGCACCATCGTCGGCATGGTGATGCAGGAGGTCAGGAAGCGTGATTCATGATGAGAAGACGACAGCAGCCGGTCGTCATTCATTGGTTTAATTTCTGTTTTTTTGTATTCATTCATCGGAGGTTTGATGTCAAGTAGGAGGCGGAGGAGGAAGAGCAGAGCCTTGCCTCTCTGTGAGGTGTGAGATTACTCCCAGCGTGAGGTGGCCGGGTTTGTGCGTGTGTGTGTGTGTGTGTGTGTTGGTGCAAAGTGTGAACAAGCTTGAGTTGGAGACATGTGGGTTGTGGCTTGTCATATGTAGTTAAAAAAGACGACTGGCAGGTAGTATCTTTCATCTTTCCGGTTTTTCAGGGATAAAAAGGGGCACAAGATGGCTAAGACTTATTCAGACTTTTGACCTTAAAGCATATGCAATGGTGTAAAGGTCAGGTAGCAAAGTCCTACAAAAACATCCCTCTTTTCTTGTATGTTTGCTACTTCTCTGTCCAATGTTTGTTCACAATCCGTAGATGCTGAATGTCAGCCATTTCTCGCATTGCTCATCCAACCATCCTGTTCCTACAGAATAAGAAATGACTCATGCACGATAGCTCAGATGTAACAGAACACGTTTTCTTCCTATAAAAGGAGGACAACACTAGTGACCTTGAAGTTGTGACATTAGCCCCACAGCAGAGGTTATTTAATCAGGGTTTACAGTGAGTCTCTCTCATCCCTCTGTGGTTAAAAGGGATTCTACAGCATGTTTCTTTTGTGGTTTTGACGGCACGCTCTGTGTTTTTTGCGTTGCCACAGATTAACATCACATCCAGAATTACACAGATGGTTTTACAAGGCGGCTCCTACTCTGTTCTCTTTGTCTCACTGTGTTTCTCTGTGCAGATGTGTGACATTGACATAAATTGGTGCATGAAAGAGACTTGTGTAGAAGTTTGGTTCAGGATTTATTTACTTATTTATCTACTTGTATGTGGATCTTTGAACATATCTAAATTAATGTATTTATATAGCTGTATTTGTGTATAGATACTGTACGCACATGTATTCATGTACCTCAGGGAATGATGGGAACAGTAAGAACTCGACTTTTGTAAACTGTTTAAACCATTTAAAAAAGCCCTTTATTAAAAAAAGAAAGAAACCTCAATATAAATCTTGGACGTTCAGTGTTCACAGTAATTCAAATAAATCCAAACATTATGACGTGCATGCTAAAAGAATACAGTTCAAAGGCCATTAGAGTGATAACATGTCTTAAAAAGAGATTTATATTACTGAGACATCTCATCTAATCTTGTCATCTCTGTATTAAAGTTTAACCTTACTCCTGACTTTCAACCCTGGGTCACATTTCATGCTTGTTGTTCCGCTGTTATGTAGTCTAACCACGCTTTGCCCTCTTCCATCAACCCAACCTCACCCTGGTGCATGATGGGATTGATTGCCTCCTTGATGTCGGGATCATGCCTCGTAACCAAATAGTGTTTTGAAGGCTGGTTGCATAACGGTAGATGCCAGCGCGCTGTGTGCAGAATGATGAAACGAAGCATTTGAAGCCCGTCTGAAGGAAGTTATCAGCGTGTTCTCTCTGGAGGAATGCTTATCTAAGACATGGATGTACAAATAGTGATAATAAAGGAGTGTGTTCCCAACTTTTCCAGGACAAACTTCTTTTGATCCTTGTTTTACAGACAGCCAACTGTTTATGTAAAAACAAAGCCTGGGCAACATGCCAGTAGATTTATTGGAGCCACTTTCCAACAAGTCACCCTTTTATAAAGATAACTAATGGCCTTTTAAGAAACAATTTAATTATATTTTATAAATCTGTTAAACGTCATAACTCTTGGGTTGCCAGTTAGCAAAGAAATTCTCTGGGTTGCTTTTTTTTTTAGTTCTTTGTTTCATTAACCTGGTAGAAAATGCTGCAGATCTGTGATGTGTTTTATTAACAACTTGATCAGCATGTATAACGTCAGACTTGATGGAACATAGAGAGAGTTTAACCCTCAAGTATTTTTTTATGAAATATGATATCAAAGAGAAATAATAAGAAGAGGGATTTCCCAATGTGGCAACCCAATTGAGCTACTGTGATTTATTAACCATTAATAAAGTCAGTAGTCAGCACTCAGAGGGTGCGTGTAAAGTAAAACTGTTACAAAATGTTACCCAAATCAAATGAGTGAAACATTATTCAGTTCAATAAATGAAAAAACTTGTGCCACCATTTCATACAGTTTAGTTAGTCTTCAAAATACTGTTTTTTTGTATTATAATGATGCAAACCTTGTCTCCCATATAACAACCAGAACTAATGAAAATTAGGCAGACTCATTATATCTGACTAGACTCTCCTTATGAGACGTGCTCCTTGGCTGTCATACCCAGAAGATAAATTGCTTGGAAAAATGAAACTCAGATGAAGCCTTTTTGTAATTTAAGACACAGGAATGTTGTCTGCCAGTTTGTTCAGAAGGCCAGCTGCTGGCAGCAGGTGTGGCAGCTGCTGCCATGGTCGAGTATCAGAAAGCTGCAGACATTAAGCCGGGGTTTAACTTTGTCTCTCCAATGTGGACATTCTCCAACTTTCACATGTAGTTCAAACAGTCCAAAAAAACGGCCTATTGGACAGGACTGCAGACAAACGTTAGCATTTATGTGCATCCAAATCGTTATGTATATTATCTACTGTGTGTTCTAAGCATTGTTGGAGTGTATTATCATTTTGGCCATCTCACTGCTTGAGTTTGCGTCTCCTTGAAAATGCTGCAGGGGGGGGGGGGGTGCCGGTCTACCAGCCAAACACGTGTCATGGTCACAAGCATGACATGTGCTTTTTTTTTAACGTTTTGAATCAGAACGTATATTCTACAACAGCAAAAGCAGTTTTTGGCTGACTCTTAGCAATAAAATGCACTGTCTAATATTGGATGTTTCATCATATCTGAGCCACTGTAACTGAAAAAGCCATTTATTTTTGGCTTCTTTTGTGATCAGAGGTCTGGGACAGGTGTGACGACCCTGAAGCATTTTTATGGATGAAATATCAATCAAAAGTTCTCCTCACTTTGAATTACCTGTATGTTTGTAAGGCTGTGTTGTCCCATGGGGAGGAGTACAGGGCTCCAGTTTCGAACATTACACACATGGAGACAGACGTGCTAAATGTCAGGCCCACAAAAGCGACCAATAAAAACGTTCAGTTGGGTCGCACTTGACAGATTGGTCACACTCTGGAGCCCTGTTTATGCATATTCAACTCTAATAAATCTCCCTTTTGAAGCACCCAAGAGCATTATCTCGAAGCAGTGCAGATTAATATAAGATGAGATAAACGTTATCATCCCCATAGTGAAATTCAGGTGTCATTGCAGCAACATTTATAAGAGTCAAACACAGGAGAGCATAGGTAAGACTTCATACAAAGACAATAATTGTAAAATGAAGGAAGTTAGACATAACATGTAAGGAACCGTGTAAATACAGGAAACTCGCATAAATACAGAAATGGATAATGTCAACATACAAGTATGATTTCAAAGTTGGTACATTATGGTTCAAGTCATAAGTACATACAGTAAAGGTTGTTAGATTAGCCTAAAAAACAATAATTCTATTGATTTCCTTGAGAGTTGTTCCTCAGTTTCTAACATTTGTGTCTCTCTTTGGCTTCCTAAGGGCTCTCCATCAAGGCACTAATGCTCGTGTCAGTGTGAGGCCGCTGGTCGAGGGGGGGGGAAGCAGTGAGGACAGCGTCCCAGGTCCACAGACGGGATGAGCGGGGGAACGGAGCAAGCTGACATCCTGACCGTGCTCTCCCTGGTCAAGGAACGATGGAAAGTGGTGAGTGACGTGTTATTCCGCAACAATAGGCAGAGTGTTTGTCCAGCCCCATCACTGCTTGGCTCACACTGTGTCAAAGCACAACAACTCTTTGTTCCTCACACAATGATTTCCCCTGCTTTCCTCTAAAGTGTCTCACCTATGGGTCGGACTCTTTGGGGTTGAGTGTGTCCAGTTAGGGCTGCCTGCCTGCTGCAGTACAGGAGATCCAAAAATAGCCTTTATATCTATTTGTGGTGGTGCAGTGAGCTATAGGCAGCAGTACACCCCGGAGGGCCCCGGCCCCTCACTTCTCTGCCCGCCTGGGTGCCAGTGAAGCTGCTAGTCCTCACTGGCAGCACTTCCTGTCTGCTAATGAACAGAGTTACATAAGAATGCTGCAGCTAATCCAACAACTTTAGCTGTGTGTGTGTGTGTGTGTGTGTGTGTGTGTGTGTGTGTGTGTGTGGGTGTGTGTGGTGTGTGTGTGTGTGTGTGGGTGTGTGTTGTGTGTGGTTGTGTGTGTGGGTGTGTGTGTTGTGTGTGTGTGTGTGTGTGTGTGTGTGTGTGTGTGTGTGTGTGTGTGGGTGTGTGTGTGTGTGTGTGTGTGTGTGTGTGTGTGTGTGTGTGTGTGTGTGTGTGTGTGTGTGTGTGTGTGTGTGTGTGTGTGTGTGTGTGTGTGTGTGTGTGTGTGTGTGTGTGTGTGTGTGTGTGTGTGTGTGTGTGTGTGTGTGTGTGTGTGTGTGTGTGTGTGTGTGTGTGTGTGTGTGTGTGTGTGTGTGTGTGTGTGTCCTTCTAACTTTCCTAAGATAGGGCACATTATGTTCACACTTTTATAAAAGTGCACCTTGCTGTCCAGTTACGCAGACTGTGTGGTATTTCCTCTGATGTCATGTCTTATCGTCTCCCTCTAGGCGAAGAAGATCGGGGGAGGCGGGTTCGGGGAGATCTACGAGGCGGTGGACCTCCTGACGCGGGTCAGCGTGGCGCTGAAGGTGGAGTCGGCCCAGCAGCCCAAACAGGTGCTCAAGATGGAGGTCGCCGTGCTGAAGAAGCTCCAGGGTGAGTCGAAATGGATTCACTGGATTTGGTTACATTTCTGAAATCGATTGATCCTCCCTGGCCCGATGACCTACGGAAGACAGGACACTGAATTGTGGCAGAAGAACAAAGGAGAGAAACATTTTCGGTCAATTATTTGTCCCGAGATTGATGCAACACATAAGCAGGGAGAAATGAGTAAAAGGCAGACTGATCCAGGAAGTGTCATGCTTGTGAAATGCAAGGGTTTGCCTGTAATCTCTTCCCCTGAGACCAGATATCATCTGACTCTTCTAAAATTACAATTTGACCCAGGGCTCAGCTCACTTTGATTTAGTCTCTGCGCTGCATAGCACACCGTCATCTAACAGATCATTCATTCTCTCTTAATTTCACATTTTAATTGTGGTTTAAGAGTCAGGAGATTCATGTAAAAGTTCAAGATGCCAGTGATAGAGGAAGTTTATGTTTGTGCTCCCGGACACTCCCATCGTCTCACAGCAGAGACACAGGATCAACAAAGGAGAGCTTCTTCGGGGGGGTTGCATAGTTTTACTCCTATCTGTTTTTAACGGTGTCTTTCCCCCCTCCCCTTGTCCTTCCTGCCTTTTGACCAATGTGCCCTTTTCATTTCTCTCTCTCCTCTGAGAGGAAATCAATGGGCTGGGATCATGTTTGCTGTCTAATGGCTGCGGCCTCAGGCATCATGTGTTGGGTGCTTCCTTGGGGAACCAACATGTAACTTGAGACAGGCTTAACTCCAACTCCCCCCTTCATAGAAACATTGCTGACCCACCCAAATGTAAACATTGACCTTATAGGAAGACAAACTGGAATAAATATACTCTAAATGTATTTGTTTTACCTTGGGGGTTTGGTTAGTAGCTGTTTGCATTCACTTAAAGCGTAAGGGTTTGGGGTGTGGCTGCTGTCTAGCTTCTATTGCAGCAATGTCCTTTCAGACACACACACACACACACACATTTGCTCCCACACACACACATATGCACAAACAAACTATGCATTCATGTATGGACCCGGCGTTGTGTGCCATAGCCGATAAATCAGCAGGGAGTCGTACAGCACAGGGCCGCGTGGTGATGGAAGGGCAGTGAGCTGTAGAGGGCAGAGAAATATGAACATGCACATCATCATGATTCACACAGCGTGACGCATCTTACCATCAAATGATGCTGTAAAATTCACCTCTCCTTCTCCTCCGAAAGTAATCTTCCTTTTTTCCCCTAGGTAAAGACCACGTGTGTCGCTTTGTGGGATGTGGCCGCAACGACCGCTTCAACTACGTGGTGATGGAGCTTCAGGTTGGTATAAATGCAGAGGACTTAATGCCTCACTCTTAACTGAATTTAGACATTAAACTTATGCAATTAATCGATTGACCAATAAATTATTGACAATTCCAGTGAAAGTCTTGACAAAATATTCACTCAGGCTCCTCCAGTTGATGGAGGAATCGTTGGAAGCCAATCAGTACCATGTGTTTGTGGCAGTGATTGGCTTCCTTGTCAATAATGTATTAGTCTATTCAATGTGTCTAGTCAATATAACTTTTAAAGGTGGGGTAGGTCATTTTGGAGAAACCAGCTCGAGTGCGCTAGAATTTGAAAATACACAGCCGGAAAAAATCTGCCACTTCCTTACAGAGCCCCTCCTCCAACACACACGAACGCGCACATGACCAATGAGGGCACGAGATAAGTTTGTGCACCGATGGAAGGCTGACAGGCAGGTAGGCCATCCAGTTATTTTAGCCGGGCCGGCTAAAATGATTGGTCGTACTTTTTACAGTACTACGGCTTCCACAGATGACATTTTTTTATGGATTTTTTGTCAAAGCACTTAAGATATTCATTGCTATCGGGATGTTAAGAGCATTCCATGGAATATAACAAAAAGTGTATCTCGAGCCGGTTTCTCAAACTTACCTACCCCACCTTTAAGTAAGCAGAATATAATTATAATGAATCACCTTCTACTTTTTGATTCAGGAATTACAATTTAAAGAAATGTGTATGTGTTCAATAATGACGTTGTTCAAATCTGAAAAGATGGATAACTCTGTAAAAGTGTCTAAATAAGAGTAAACTGCTGCTGTAACGTGATCCAATATAAGGGAAAACATTTCAATGAATCAATTAGTCATCCATTTTGATAGCCAATTTATTATTATTATTATCAGTTTCAAAAATTATAATGTACCTCTTATTTCTTTTTTTTAAGGTGGAGGAATATTTTTTGTGATTTTTTACAATTTTCTTTACAATTTTTTACAATTTCCAGATATTTCCATGTGGACTAAATTGGTAGACAGACCAAAAGACAAACTGACTTTTGCCATCCCATCCTGTACTCAAAATATTTATAGCAGCATTACTCTCCAGCTGGTGATTTAGGCAGCAGGACTACAAACTGTTCACATACTATAAAACATCATGTGATTTATACAACCATACTCTCAGTACATGTTTATGTGCTGCACCACCTCCCGCCCGCACCGTGTGTTTAATTCTAGATGATTGGTGTTGTGTTATGTGTTTTTCTATGCACTCAGCACATCTGGCTTGTTTGTCACATCATCAAACATTTCAGCCAGTAAAAGACTCAATAGGTTCTATTTTCATTTCCCAGTCACAGTGTGCTGCTTCCAAACGAGTAGTAGATAGAGACGATTAGGTCTTTTATGACTGTAGCGGCCAAAATCATATAGAAATAAAACATTACATAACATTACATGTTACTTGTTAGACGCTTTTATCCAAAGCGACTTACATACTCAATACTGTGGACAATCCCCACAGGAGCAATTTGGGGTGAAGTGTCTTGCCCAGGGACACAACGACATGCTGACTGCAGTGGGGTTTGAACCTGTGACCCGCTGATCCAAACACCTACATCCAAACACCTACACACAACCCACTGCGCCACACACAAACTGATAATTAACTTAAAATAACACTGCCGCTGAGGGCACCAGTTAGCGAAACTTATGCAGGGCAACGATCTAAGTCCAGACAAGAATCTCCGTTTGTGCATTTTATTCCAATAACAAAGTACATTCAACAGGTTTCCTTATATTTCGTTCCTTAAGCCTTTCCTATGGCTTTCCTTTCTTTTGGCTTGAAACACCCTGGTAAAATAAACATGTGCCTACTAGTGCTCTGCTCACACCTGTCTCCAATATATACACAATTACACCAGAGGCCTGTACTACGAAGCTGGATTTTCGCTTAGCCGGCTAAATTCAGGGAAATCTCGGGCGTTCCGGTCCTACGACGCTGGTTCTCTTTTTAGCAGGCTAGATTTCCATGGTAACTTATGCTGAGCGGCAAACCTGCTCCGGAGCAGGTTAGGTTGCAGGCTAGAGATCAACTCAGTGAAAGCACCGCCTGCTGACCAATCAGAGCTCCGTGTGTGCGGAGTTTAAAGCGATCAAGTCATATTACAGGATAGAGGAAATACAGAAAAACTGCCGTTGCAGGAAAGACAGCCGGCAAAAATCAACTGACTGTGTGAACGTGAAAATTAATAGAATATCCCCTCCCATCTTCAGAGCAATCTGACTATTATAACATTAGCGTTAAGAAAGCTTACTTAAATATCTGCCACGACATAAGTAACCGGATCAGAGTAACATTAAGTACAGTCCGCGGCACTGTGAGTGCAGACGTCGATGTGTCCCATTATCATTCATATCATATCACATCATAATGTATCATATATTTCCTTATTTGAGTCAGCTTCTTGAGCCGTATCTGGCCGTGTAACACTCACAGTGTCACATACTGTATGCAGAAGTATTATTTTAAGCAACACATTAAGTTGACGAAACACTCGAGTCAAATTCTCCTAATTAAAGTCAGATCCACTCGTGTCTTGGGGCAGTGATTTCATAAACCTGTTAATGTACGCATTCAAACACTTTTTCTTTTACCAGCTGTATTCACCTTGCAGGTGCAGCTATGTGGCTTTTATCCTGGATAAAGTGTTTAAGACATGGATGTTTAAAGTTTAACTTCTTCATATTTGACTAATATTAAAGTTCACTTTTCATTCAGGAAGTATGACGCTGCGCTGTCAGTACGCTTCTCCGTGTTTGAGATTGGTCGAATGCTCCAAATACCACCCCTTTCATGTGAACGCGCACCTAACTAGATAGGACACGGCTGGCTTGAGCGATCCACTTGATAACCGGCGTCGTAGTACAGCTTAGCGCCAGCGCGTATGTTTTGGCTTAGGCCAACCGGCTAACTCCAACATATCCAGGTTAAGTTGAACCAGCTTCGTAGTACAGGCCTCTGGTGCTCTAATCACCCAGTGCCCAAAACTGCCTTCATAATAAAAGCATAGAAACTACTTTAATAACTGAGAATACATTTACTATAAACACTAAACAGCAAGAAAATAATAAGTATTAAATAATAGAAAGCAATATATAGCTCCAACAATGACATGCTTTTATAATAGACAGAGTTCCTGTTGTCCGACTTTATGATCTCGTCCATGTTCTGATCTCAGGGTCGTAACCTGGCTGACCTGAGGAGGAGCATGACTCGGGGAACCTTCAGCATCAGCACCACGCTGCGTCTGGGGCGGCAGATCCTGGAGGCCATCGAGAGCATCCACTCTGTGGGCTTCCTGCATCGTGACATCAAACCGGTGAGTCACCGTGAGCTCGGAGCAACGAGGCATATTTAATGCTTGGCTCTCATTTCAGTACACATGAGAATATCTTTATTTCTGCTGTCAGATTATTTATTGGCTGCCAGTATTTTTGCTGACTCAGTTTCTTTGTTGCACTTACAGTAAGCTGGCTCAATAAAAGGGTTGGCTTAATGCCCAACAATTACCAGAATGTACATATCTTCTGCTTTTGAGCTGCTGTATTAAAACATGTCTCACCATAGAGATATGTTTATTCCCCTGAAACTACAAGAACATTATTAACATGTTTTTATTTTAGGGGGAACCTTTACAGTTGCAAAATCAATAAACGATCTACACGTGTATATAGCTAAGGCTTATTTACAACATAATAGTTCAAGTTATCATTTCAATCACATTTTACAGTTTTAAATCTCAAAACCATTGCAGATGATAATCAAAAACAATTACCATCAACAACAACAACAACAACAACAACAACACACAATAAACCAAACATTCAAGCAGAAATAATGGAACAAATAATGTGGTTTTATTATTCTGTTTAACAACTGCCTCCTGTTTCTCTGGTTCAGTCCAATTTCGCAATGGGCCGCTTCCCGAGTACGTGTCGGACCTGCTACATGCTGGACTTCGGTTTAGCTCGTCAGTTCACCAACTCCTGCCAGGAGGTCCGACCTGTAAGTGCCCTGCTCTGTTACTGACTTTACACTGAGCTTGAAGCTGCACTTCACAATACTGATGTATACAAAATGATATGGTTATTCTCTGTTGTCTTATTTGAAATGTATATATTAAAGTAGTGATGTCAGAAAGCAAACCTCTACACAACAGTGGCTGTACAACCTCTCCTCTCTCTCTTAGTATACCTAAGCTGTAATGAGGAGAAGTATAAAAAAATAGGAGTGCAGAGCTCTTCTTAACCCTGCCCTCCTAACACAAAATCCAGTCAGAACCGGTTTCCAAGTAGCATATATCACGAAATTGAGACATCCCAAGGTCTTCTAATCTTTGCGACTGGTACAGTATGAACCTCCTCTGATGTCAAAGGCCCCAATGTATCTTCTTTTAGTTATTTAACAGATTATTTGAGTCAGTGACTTTCTAAAAATAACAATGAATTAAATTACTATGTGTAATGCAAAATGTCCCCTGTAGCCACATAACCTCAGAGAATTTCAAGTCACTCCTTCTCATAATGTGATGTGATAATAACACAAATGCAGAAAAAGGAAATATTTAATGTGATCTAATAATAGTTGGGGGTTAGATAAAAGATAGGTGGACATACAACTTGTTTCTTTAAATAGTTTTGACTTATTTTTGACAACATTTTGCTGAATTTAAATAGTAAAATGTTTGTATTTAATGTCTGTTCCTGTCTTTGTTCATCAGCCTCGTCCAGTGGCAGGGTTCAGGGGAACTGTCCGATATGCATCCGTCAATGCACACAAGAATAAGGTCAGTAACTATTATCCATTTATTTATTCACATGCATTACACAACTTTCTCTTTTCTGTCCTGATCTGACGATGATCCAATATAATTGATTACTGTGAACTCAACCTTGATGTGGTTCTGCAGGAGATGGGTCGTCACGATGATCTGTGGTCTCTCTTCTACATGCTGGTGGAGTTTCTGGTCGGGCAGCTGCCATGGAGGAAGATCAAGGACAAAGTAAGCAGAGCCAATAATCGCTGCCTGTCCTTCATGGAAACTAAACAGCCCTGTCCAGGTAGCTGTAAGTGATGAGATGTGACAGGTGTGTGTGTGTGTGTGTATTCCCAGGAACATGTGGGGAAGCTGAAGGATACTTACGACCATCGTCTCATGCTCAAACACCTACCGGCAGAGTTTGGTGTTTTCTTGGAACACATCGCCACACTCGACTACTTCACAAAGCCAGACTACCAGGTGATGACATTTTGGTTTTGCTAAATGATGCTATAGCTACATATTTTAGTAAAGTGTGCAGTGCATGATTTAGAAATATCTCCTCAAGTCAATGTGGTATCTTCCTGTTTTTAAGAACCACAAGTGTTTGTTCTTTTTCTGTAGACTCTTGCTGAATAAAATAAAAAATGTTTTGTATTTTCGTGTTGTTACAGCTGCTGATGTCAGTGTTTGACAACAGCATGAAAACCTACAATGTCGTGGAGAATGACCCTTATGACTGGGAGCGGACCGGCACTGATGGCACTTTTACAATCAGTGCTAGTGCCACAACACCGCAACATCACACACGCCTCACTCCGGCACACATGGGGTATGTTTGATTGAATTACAATTATTTTAGTATAGCTAATTCCAGTGCTATTTGTAATAAATACTGTAACAAGAGGTGGTTGAAATTCCACACTTCCCTTTATAGCTATTTAATTCAATTCGTACAATTACAATTGTAAGACATAATCAGCGATGAGTGAAATGGGACAAAATATTGGCTTAGACACTCAACAGAAAAATAAATCGTGATGTGTGCCTTGTTAAAGCACTTTGAGCTGTACCTGATGCATGAAAATTGCTATTCATATAAAGCGTATTATTATTATTAGAAATAAAAAATAGCTTTATACATCAAATAATGCGTGTATCTTTGTCCCGCAGTATGGCGAATGCCTCCCTGATCCCTGGCGACCTGATGAGGGAAAACACAGACGAGGTTCTGCAGGACGAGCAGCTCAGCGACGCGGAGAACAACCCAGCCCCGGACCGCCTGCCGGGATCCCCCCTCCACCCCCACCGCAACCAGGAGGCGGATGTGTGGGAGGAGCTGGACCGCAACCGTAACCGCATCAGGACGGCAGTCTGGAAGGTAGAATATAGTTCCTCTCAGATCATTTATCTCCAGTTATACTAATAGTAATCCACCATTTTTGTAATCCTTTGCTAAAAAAAAAACGGACTTCTTTTCCATAGGCGGCAACGGAGGAGGAACACAGCAACAACCAGGGCAACCACGCAAACCAGAACCCCTACGCTGGGCCGAGTCTCGGTTCTCCAGTCAAACTGCACTCTGAGCTGGGGGCTTCAGACCGCGATGGCCCCTTGCTGAGGAAGATCCGCAACATTCACAGTCTGGATATAGAGAGGAGGCTCAGCCTAGAAGCCAAACCCAGTCCAGAGCGCTTCCTGGAGACCTGGTATGTCTATCAAGTAACCTTCGATTCAATGCTTGCAATTTTGTTGGCCAATTCAGATTTTTTTAATTGTCTGACATGCACATGTATCCAATAACTCTAACTGACAGCACTTTTCTTTCATGGAAAACTGACAAAAAATCATCATCCTTCTATCACTCTCATTCACACAAATACCACAATAATAGTGCTTCAGGTATCTGGACAGATACAATTCGATTCGAAATAAAGTGCGATATATTTCACCTTATCTCACATGTTTCACTTTCTAAGAAGAAAACAGGTGCAACAAACTTAATGTAACTTCCTCCATGGCTTATTTTGAACTATCAGATGTTACATATATGCAAGCTTTTTGATCTTCTTTACTCACAATGAAAGAACTTGCACACCAACGAAAAGGTGTGTGTGTGTGGTTGTACACCAGGGGTGTCAAACTCAATTTCATCGCGGGCCACATTCACATAAAGGTTGCACTCAAAGGGCCGGTTGTAACTATATAATATATATCTATATATAAAATAATGTATTATATTACATTATTGCCTCTGAATTGGATTATTATCGGATAGGATAATAACTTAGTAATTAACTACGTCTGAAAGCAGAAGTCCAGGGCAAATAATTGCAAGTCTCTTCAGTGCGCATGTCACAAAACGAGATGCATTGTGGGGCATGTAGTTGATGGGCAACCTGCTTCTGTAAAGTGGCATGTAACCGTATAATAAACGTATTATATTCTTTGCAAGCTCTTGCGGGGCCACATAAAATGAAGTCGCGGGCCGGATTTGGCCCCCGGGCCTTGAGTTTGAGACCCCTGTTGTACACTATCTGTGCTCTATGCAATCAATCAATCCAGAACTTTATTAATCCCGCAAGGGGCAATTGGTTATGAGCAGCTTATGTCATGTACACAGGCAGGAACATACAAGAAGAAAACACACACAGATACACCCGGGAGCACAGATGTGGATAATTCCAATTTACACTATAAATAGTTCATAGCATCACAATAATAAATAAATAAATAAATAATCAAGTTAAAAGCCTTTCAAGAATTTAAAAGTTTGAGTGCAGAAGGGATGAATGATTTTGAAAAGCGATTAGTCCTTTGATCAGGTAGAGCATATCTACGCCCTGATGGCAACAGACGAAATTCATGTGAAAGTACATGACCTTGGGAGTTCAGAATGCTCTCTGCTTTCCGCAGAATCTGCTGGTTACAGAAGGAATTTTCTCTGTTTCACGCCGATGATCTTGGAATATGAGACTGGAGGCAGATACATCTATGTTGACACCCTTTTCTGCTCAATGTTCCAGAGGACAGAGCACTAAGTGGATGGTTTGAATCTGTGTTGTGTGTTCAGCTCAGGGAGGCAGCAGCTCGGCCCCCAGCAGCAGGAGATGGCGGCTGACGGAGCAGCGATCATCCCTGTCACTCAGGCTGTACCCGCCGGGGAGCGCCACGACAGGGTCTGGCACTACGACGAGGAGTTCCGGTCGGGTGGCGGGTCTCCTAAACCAGCATCCTGTGGATCCCTGGAGCAGGGAGAGGGGGCGGCCATCAGCGGGGGCTTTGTGGCCCTGAACCTGAGCTCTGGGAGGCAGGACATTGACTCCAGGGAGTGGGTAATGGTGGAGAGGCCCGGCGGCTCTCCAGGAGCCAAGACCGCCACCTCGGAGGAGGATGAGGAGCCAGAGCTGCTCCAGCGGGGGGATCAGTCTCCTGGCTGGGAGAAGTGCAGTCCCAGCCCTCTCTCTGGCAAAGCTAGACGAGAAAGCACGGCTTCCTCCAAGGGAAGTACAAAAGTGGACAAGTTGGAGCTTAGCGTGGGCCCATCGGGAGTCTGCCTCCCGTTACTCCTACCAGCCCGGGTGAAGCTCTGGCTGAAGGAGTTCTCACTCAGGTAAGCACTTTCATTTTGAAGGCCTTCTCACAACATGGCCTACATGTTACTGACTGCATTTTACAAGGTTACAAAGCTCTACAGAACCAAATGCTTATATCATACAGCAGTCAGAGTCCCACCAGCTGCATCTTGCTGTAGTTTCAAGCTAAATGTTACTGCTTTATCCTATCTCGCTTATTCGCCTGTGTTTATGTGTTAGAAAAATGTATATGTGTCACAAGAGCTTATCAGATCACAGCATGGGGGAAAGAAAGCTTATTGAAATTCACTTTGATTTGCAATAAATATGCTTAAATTCATCCTATTTTGCAGACATTTTCCAATATATTTGGTTGGTTTTTATTTACTTCCCAAATTCAATAATTTGCTTATTATATATACTTTGGTTATGCTGATTTTAAATTACTTTTTTGCTCTTTTAATTTTGTATAACTTTCAGCCAGCCCTCCGAAATCTTGCTCTAAAATCTAAAAGTTTAAAACACTTTTACAATTGTTGAGCAACTTTTTAAACGACAGGAGGAATAACTGTCCCCTCACTCTCTCTTCTACAACCAGAACAACTTCCTCCATGTTCATAATGTCCACGATCTGCCCAAAATACTTCGCCTCTGTCTTCCTCCCCTAGCCTAAGATCCTCCTCCTATCTTAATAATCCTCCCGTCGCTTTATCGCTTGAGAACAACTCATCCTCCTGCACCCCACGGTAACTCCCGCCATCTCCTCCCTCCCTGCACCAGTCTCACAACCCCTCCTCTCTCCTTCCCCTCTCTTAGTTCCCCACCTCTCCTCCGTCCCTGCCTGAGGAAGTCGCTTTCCGGACCTCCAGCCCCATCCCTCTGCGCTCTCCCAGCCCTCACACACTCCTGACCACCCTGTCGGACCCGTTGCACCTGCGCCACCCTCCCTCCCTGAGGCGCAGCATGTCCGTCGACCCGCAGCAGCAGGAGCGCGCCTCCTCCTCCTCCTCTTGCCACGCCTCCCTCCCACAGTACCCCGCCCCCGGCACCCGCTCACCCGCTCGCAGGAACTACCAGCCATCCCGGCGGGCGCTGCCAACGCCAAGTTTCCCTCCGTCATACGCATCACTCGTGCCCAGCTGCAGCAGGTGATGAGCCCATCACTAAAAAAAAAAAACTTCATTCAGCTTCCTCTACGTCATAACCAACACGCCGGCTGTCAACATTTCCGTTCGTTCTTTCTTTTTCCATTGTTTTTTTCGTTTAAGTTGCTTATTTTGCCTTCTTTGTTCAGTTGGCTTGCTTATTGTGTTGTGGTCCGGCAGCTCTCTCCAGAAACCATGAGGGGCATTGTGCAGGCCAGACAGAGCATGGGTCAGATGTGTCCTTGTGTCTGGACATGTGTCCTTGTGATCTGAATAGGGGGTGTGTGTTTGTCTGATTGTGGCATGTGTGTTTGGAATGTCGAGTCATGACTACAGGTCGCATGGTCTCTTTTGTTTCAGATCGTCTTTGTCCTCTCTATCTTTCTCTTTCTCTCTCTCTCCCTGTATTTGTTCCTCACCCTCTCTTCGCTGAAGCCCCCTGCGAAGTTGCGTGAACGTTTCCTGTCCTACTTGCTGGTTTAGTACTCACAGCTTGACTGACACTGCCATAGCACTTGTGTGTTTCGGTCTGGTAGCTATGGTATTGCATGCTGTTGCCAAACTAATCACCATTTGTTACCCCATATTATAAAATTCTTCTCTTTTCACACATCTGCATCAGGCTCTTGCTACAGAACTACAGCACAACTCGACATGTTGTAGTCTATCAGCAACATGCCTTTGACAACTAGAATATTTTTCCCATTTTAGTATGGTTGATTTTTTTAAATAACACATGTGTCTCTTTTTCTTTCCTCCCATGTCTCCACTTCCCCCCCCCCCCTCCCCTCCAGTTGACGGCTCAGCGTCCCTCTGGGCTCTCCTCCCAGTCGGGATCAGACAGTGCTCCACAGTGCCTCCTGCTGGAGAGGCGGAGTGAGGCTGAAGCCGAGCCTCAGCAGGTGCAGGAGCGCACAGCGGACATCAGCTCCGCCCAGGACCATGTGCCCACCAATCCCGGGACTCCTACAGACCCCCTGGCTGAGATAATGGTCAATGGAGACATGTTTCCCAAAACTCAGGGCCCTCCGCCAAACCGTTTGTCTTCCCCTCGCTCCTTACGTTCTCTACACTCGCCTCCTCTGCGCTTGCCTTCCTCTCCTCGCTCTCCGCGCTCCCCTCACTCCCCTTGCTCCCCTCACTCCCCTCACTCCCCTCACTCCCCTCACTCCCCTCACTCCCTTCGCTCCCCTCACTCTCCTCGAAGCCCCTTTTTTGCCAATGGCCACCTCTCCCCTACTGTTAACAGCCAAAGGGATTTCAGTAACGGGGCGTTCCCCAAGCTGAAGGACCCTGAGAATGATTCTGGCCCGACCCCCTGTGCCACAGAGCCTCAGCTGAGGGGGGAGGGGACCAGAGAGGTGAACCACGATCACACCGATGGACCACCCTCCTCCTCCCCGGCTGCCCCCCGTAAGGACCCCAGCCGGAGGCACAGTCGCATCCCAGTCCTGGAGCCCTCCAGCCTGTTGGATCTCCCTCCTGCGGGGTCTGCCAAGGAGAAACTCCTACAGAAGAAAGCCAACCACCACGGATCGGCCCCCTCTCCCACTGCTTCCCCCTCCCTCTCTGATAGGCGTGGCCCCATGGTGGTGTCCCTCGCTAGGGACCCGCTGTCCTCCACCTCTGACCGCTCTCAGGACGAGGACTCTCTCATGGGCTCCCGCTCAGACCGGCAGGGAGACGACGGTCCCTCCCTCTCCCTCTCCTCCTCCAGCCCTCTGTCCCGCAAGAGCAGGATCCCTCGTCCCGTCCATCCGGTATCTTCTGCTGAGCAGCTGGCCGCCCAATACCTGCCGCGCCCGCCCCCTGGAAAACCACCGGGCCGCCCCACAGCGGAGGGCAGGTAATTGGTTGATTTTTTATAAATAAATGGGCCATTATTGTTTTTTTTTTCTTTTGTCAATTTATTGAACATGTCAGAAACAAAACATACAACAATAATAATATATATATATATATATTTTTTTTTTTTTCTTTTTTTTTCTTCTCACTCATAATAATTATTATAACAAAGTACAAAAAAATAATTATACAAAAAATAATTATAATTCTCAAATAGTCTCTGTCATGTTCAACAGGGGCAAGAAGAAGCTTAAAAAAAACGTTTCTGGTCCTACCCCCTCTAGCATACATTTTCCTTATAAATAAAATATTAGGTGATCGTCATCAGCGATATGTTTGTCAGAAAGAAATTACTTTTACAATTACAAGAAATAACAAATGGGATTTTACAGGTCCTGTTCATAACCATTCATGATTTGGCTCCTAAATAATACTTTCAGATTAGATTCGAACAATATTGCAGTGCATCAGTACAGTTCTCAACAACAACTATGATGAACAGCAAAGACATTATGTTTTGCTAAGCTAATTGGATAAGATTAGAATAGAATTACCTTATTAAGCCCAATTTGGGAAATTATTTTTAACAGCAACATAAACAAGACTTTGCAAATGAGTTAAAAATGAAATAAAATAAAAAATACACACCCAATACACAGAAACAGTTAGTATACACTAAAATAGACCATCATACTACTAACAAAATGTGCATAGTAGTTGCCGTTTTTAAATAAATGTACAACCCACTGGCTCAGTTTGATGTATCACCCTGTTTCCTGGTTTGCTACAGTATGACTTGGCTCTGATTCATAATCTGCCCTGCTTCTTTTTTTGTATCCACTTAGGCTCAGGCGTTACCGCATCCGAGCCGGCAGCAACAGTGACTCAGACCTGCTGTCGTGCCTCGCTCAGCTGATGCACGGCTCCCGGGGCTCCCCCCTCCACCACCGCTCCTCAGCCCAGTACGGGGGCTCTCGGATGGGCGTCTGCAGCCTGACGAGCTCCCCCCACCACCACCGCAGCTCCAGCGCCTCCCCGCGCAGCTCCTCCTCCCTGCAGCGCTCCGTCAGCTCCTCGCCCTCCCGCCACGAGCACCGGGGGGGCGGGGGCGGGGGAGGGGGTTGCCTGGGCCGCAGCCGCTCACCTCCCAGCTTCTCCGGCTCGCCACCTCCCCGCCGCTTCTACCCTCACCACCCGGAGACGTGCTGCAGCCGCCAGGCGCGCACGGGCCCCTTCCACCTGTCCAGGGGAAAGAGCTGCAGCCGAGACGGCAAGTGCTCGAGCAAGCTGGCCAGATAGTTCCCCCCGCGGGGGGGGGGCGCAGCAGAGGAGGGGAGGACTCCTGTATCTTGATAGTTTGGTCAGGATTAAAGCCTGAGTCTTCCTGTATTCATTTCCCCTTTTTACGCTGTCAGTCTGAACCTTGTCTCGCTGTTTCCCGCTGTTCTCTTCACTCCTTCTATTTGCACACAGGGTTTCTCATTGATTTATGTGCCCAGTTTTATAGGAGTGATTTAGTAATGCACTTCCTTTTCCATTTTGATTTAAGAAGAATGCTAAAGAATCTGTGGGACAGAATCTGAGTCTTTGAAACTCCATTAAAGCTCCTACATATCCCATAATGTAACTTAAAAGCATAAGTGCCCAGTTTGTAAGGCTTACTGTTGAAAAGTCTCAAACCCAATCTGACATTCACCGGCTGAAGAGTACTTCTTACGACGACTACTAACTGAGCCTCATGTGTAAAATCGGTGCTTCTTAAGAACTTATTAGACAAGCCATGTTGACAAGTCAGGGTCCTCGTTTCATATATATCATTATGTTGTAGAAAAAAATAGTATAGCTGCAAAATGAATTAATGGTTTACATGCAGGCATAATATCATATGTAAACTAATAGTTATTTGGCCGGTGAGCACATAAATAAATCAGTTTCCTGTTTATTCATCTTCATGCATCCTGCACCACAATGTAATGTAACTTATTTATCCCCAGTATTAATGCACTTGGAATATACTGATGGAAGATCAGTAAACATGATCACTACTTAATTAAATATTGCCCTGGGGCTGACCCAGTTATCTCCTCTGCACTCAGAGATTGCAGGCAGGGTATGATGTTACTTTATGTTATATCCGAATGCATAAAGCCAATATTTGTGTACAGTTGTATTTATTGAGATATTTATTTTGATGCTTAGCAATGCTTAAGACTCTTACCCTCTTCTTTGTGATGGTGGATGTATGGTTTTGTGTCACTCACATTAGTTTTAAATGCTAAATCAAAAAGGATTACTCCTTTTATACAATCAATCATGTCAAGTGCGTGAGGACACACACCTTTTTGTGCCTACTGTGTTGCTAAGAGGGAATCGGAAGTGTTTCGCTGACTGAAGGGATTACAGGTTAGAAGTGTGTTAGTGGTAGTTATTGAGTAGTAGCAGTAGATAGCTTAAGCAACACAAGGTACATTACTGAGTATGTATTGATGTTCAGACACAGATGTTTGTCTCGGCGTGTGCCTTGGCACTTTAGGGCAGCTTGAGGATTCACTTTGTTTGTATTTAAACAAAAAGGTGTGCCAGCGGTTATAAGACGACCCTTTTAACCAGTATTCTTAGGAAAAGGTAGCAACACCAATATTTGTAAATCAAACACAATGACAGTTACTTAAGTAGCAATTATTTGTAATGACAAAAAAAGGAAATATTTGAAGTGGAACCCATCACAACTGTCCTGTTTATAAATACCTGGTCAGTCCTGGAGATAAAACTTGATCAAATGTGATTTTTAGACCTCAAACATCTTGTCAAATGTTATTGAAAATCAAGGCCATATGTAATATATTTCCCACACCAAAATGATGTTCCATGCTTCCATGCCAGATGGTTTTCTTGTTAGTTTTGTTCCTCCTGTGCCGAACAATGTCTTTTGACATACAGTTTGTTTGTGCACAAGGGAAAGGAATCAGTTTGTGTTTGATTTAGTTAGGATTCCTCACTGAACCTCCACAACCTCCTCTGCTTGTAAGATACTGTAAAATAACTCCAGCTTCCTTGCGATGCTACTCTTTGCATGCTCAACAGAAAAAAACACACACAGAACCAACGACACACGGTATCTCTCTTTGTTCTATATATATTTTCTCTGACCCATCTAATATTCTTTCTATTGCCCTTCCCACCTGACTTGTTTCCTTTGCTCCCTGCACTGACTTCACTGGGATGAATGTGTTGCAGGAATATGATAGACTGTACGAGCCCAGAGGACTGTACTCGGTGCAAATACTGACATGATGGAATGACCAGAATAAATAAGGAGAATAGACTTTACAACTGTGATTTGAAGAATCAAAGGGATAGTTCGGATGTTTTTAGGTGGGGTTGCATAAGGTACTTTACTATAGTCAGTGTATTATTTACAGGAGATCACTTTATGGCCCATTATGAAGAAACAGCGTTTAACGTCACAAAGAAGACCCTTTTTTTTTTTTTTTTTTTTCCCCTAGGGGAAATCTAAAAAAGCTAAGTAATGTTCTGCTGTTGAACATATTTTGATATCAGTTTAAGTGTACAGTATATTTAGTATATTTTCTTCCCTACATACTGGTCCCTGGAGCCTTGATCTATGCTGTAATAAACTGATTTTGGATGAGCACCTCATGCAACCACATTTCAATAGCAGTCACATATGGAAAAAAATCACATTGCCAAATATTTTTATAGATTTTGCAGATGTGGTTTGACTTGAGATTTGATAATATGAGATCGTACAGAGATTGATGTATAACGCGTGCTGTTTTGTGCAGACCTTGCAGATATCACCGCTCACAGAGCAGCTATGATGACTCGTCCTGAAGGCAGACAGCGTTCAGTCAGTCAGTCGCCTTAATGTCTCCTCTCTGCCCCTCTGTGCAACGCGAGGGATGACTGAGCCTTGTCTGTGTTGGAGATCATTCCACTATTCGCCCAAGCCAAGCCTTTCTGTCACTCATCTCCTTGTGTGTGAAAGGTCTGTCAGCGAGGTCAATATATCAACACTGCAATCAATGCTGTCAGACTCTTGTGCTTACCAAGCTGTGCTTCTACCGGAGAGATCCATGTTTTCTGTGAGAGTGCGTGGGGAAATGTTTCGATCGACTGTGTGCAGCATTCAAGATGTGTGTGTTATCAGTATGCTCTCAATCTGGAGCGTGCAATTCCTTATATGTCGCCAGCAATCATCTTTGAATCGTCCCTCTTTCAACTCCAGATTTCAAGATATTTCAAGCTTTCAAAGTTCCAAAAGCAGTTGTGCAGACTTTTAATATATACCTGTAAAATATAAAGTAATTATTTAAATAAAAAAAGAACTATTGTAAACTTAAATGCTAACAGGCTTCAGTGAAAGGGAGGAACAGACAGTAAACAGTGCTGCTGGTTTCTAAAGATAATCAGATTTCTTCTCATGTTTTCTTTATTATTAATGCACATAAGTGATGTGGAGATGTAGTACTAGTGTTACCCTCCAGATGAGATTTTCTTTGTCGCTTTTTAAAGTGGCTTGCTCATAGAAAGGTGTCATTTATAGTAGCTTGCTGGGTATCTGTGGTAAATACCCATATGCCAGCAAAAGAAACCCAGATGTTTTATTTATTTTCAAAGTTTAGGCGGAAACTAATGATAGCTTTGGTGTGCACTTGTACACTTCTCATGTCATTACATTGAATTACTTGTAAGTAACTTCTAAATATTTGACAGAAACTATTTATTGTGACATTTGCTAATTCACCCATCCATCATTTTGACTTCAAATGTCAGGATTTTTTTAATGGTGGATATTTTTATGTTTGTAATGTACGTCATGGTTTTGAAATGTTACTGTACAGTTTCAAGGAAAGAATTTAACAAGTGGGAGTTTTGCATTGTATATAACTGTAATTATTTATGTTTATTCTATCATTTGTATCATACCAATGCCTTGTACAGTGTTTTTTTTGTTTTTTGTTTTGAAATTGTTTTGTATTTTATTTTTATAAACTGGTTATAAATAAAATACTCATTCCGCATGCAGACATAATCCTGTGTAAGGTTTATTTTTTCGCTTTAAAAAAAAATTGTAGCCTCTTGAATTGTTTTAATTAATATCTTTCAAGAACGATTCATACAAGATACAACCAAAACACGCCCAAAAAAATGAATACATTGAAGCTTTTAGATCCATATCTATTCATTTTAATCAAGTCTATATTTACCACAAGGGGCTTTTCAATATTATGTACAGTAATAGACCCTCTAGATTAGGAAAAAAACCTCTTAAGAATAGAAGAAAGGGAGGCGTGTGGCACAGTGGGTTAATACGCTGATCTTCGAATCGGAGGATAGCAAGTTCGAGTCCCACTGCAGTCAGCATGTCGTTGTGTCCCTGGGCAAGACACTCACCCCAAATTGCTCCTGTGGGGATTGCCCTCAGTATTGAGTACAGTATGTTAGTCGCTTTGGATAAAAGCCTGTCTAACAAGTAACATGTAATGTAATGTAAAAGAAACCTCAGGAAGAACAACTGAGAAAGATTCCTGCACCCACGAGGGGCAGACATGCAATAGATGTATGGACACAATAATTAACAAAGGGTAAAACATGACACTATAGACAGTCCAAATAACCAAATTGTACATAGAATATATATATTATTGATGAAAATGGATCAAGGAAGATGTCAAGCAGCTTCCAGGAGTAGCCAAACAATTAATGACATAATGTTTAAGGATAACAATCAATGTTAAGTAACTGTATCTTTGTAATTGATGTGGATATTTCACTAATACCCTCAGCTGTATTGCACTACTATACATGAAGATTATGCAAATACCCTGTTGCTTCAGAGAAAGTAAGTACCTTATTGTATCTATTAAATTGTTTTTTTGTCCAAGTTTTCAATAGGTCATATACCCCCATAAGCCTTGAGTTTGAGAACACTGCTCTCAATGTTTATAACAATTTAGTCATAATAGTCTAGCCAGGGATCATGGAAACGACGATCAGCTTTTTTATTTATTTTGTATTCATCTATTCAACATCATACATGAACATCATACATTTTACAGACAACAAAGTCCAGGGGCAGACATACAAAGCAACAAGACATTACATACTATGGAGCTAATTTCCTGCCATAACTCCACAAACAAACTTTTACTTTTTTACAAATGCCTTATGATTCACTAACACACACAGTGTGGTTTGCAAATACAAAACACCATCTACAAAGGAATGCATTAAGTTGTGCAAATAAAAAACATATCTATCAGACAAACACATATTAGAAAAAATGTTATGTGTTTATCTCATAGAGAACTTAATGCATTAGTTTGTAGATGGTACATTTGTATGGTATTTACTTAGTTTGTTTGTGGAGTTATGGCAGGATAGCTCCATAACATACGACGATCAGCTTCCGCCAGCTGCACACGTGTATCAAAACGTCATACGCAGTACGCCGCCTGCGCAGACGCTGACCCTGCCCCTTTCCCCTCAGTCCTTCAGCCGCGTAGCTCGAGAAGGGTCTAGCCTGCGGCCGCGGCCAGTAGTACACGACACTACACGACACGACACGCCCACCTGACACGACACTACGGTGGCTGAGAGACATTACCATACATGGCAGATTAAAAGCGAATTGACGACACTGACGCTGATGCAAGGATATTTAAAGAGGACATGAGGTTCAGAGAACAGACAAACAATATGGCGCACCGAGTAACAGGTAATTAACGTATTGTGGTTTTAGATATAATTACATACTATTTAGGTTTCGTTTGTTTGTCGATGTGGCCTGTTTAGCGCAGTGTAATTGTGTTTATTTAGCTAATTTGTATTTTTAAATATTAAATGTAAAGGAATGGAATACATATAAATATATATATATCTTAGCTCTTAGCTTGACATGCTCGACGTTCAGTTAGCATATATGCTAACTGAACATGCTCGTTCAGTTAGCATGTCAAGCTAAGAGCTAAGATATATGTATATATTTTAGCTTGACAGATGGAACAATGCATGTACTCGCATTTTTACAAGAATCTGATTTTAAATATTCATTGAAGGTGTCTTTCACATTTGAATGTTTTAAAAAAAAAAACATGTATTAGCTGCTATACTGACATGCACATATGTATAATTATATTATTATTTTAAGTGTGGTTTAAAGTTAAATGATATATAGTTATTGGGTAGAGTCAGTGGCGGCCGGTGGTCTTTTTTTTTGGTGGGGCTCTTGACGTACCGTAAGTGACCTACCCGGGGGGTCCGGGGGGGTTTCTCCCCGGAATTTTTTTTCGAGAAATGACCCCTTAAATGATGACTTCTGGTGATGTTAGAGGGGGGGGGAAGGAGAAATCGAGGCTTAAAATATGAGAAGACTGATCAATACCTCCATAATCTTCAGTGTGGAAAATATTATTTATCAACCTGAACATCTACTACTTTACCAGGAATTTGTGTTCTCAGAACTGGTCTGTTTTTTTCTTTCTTAAAACTGTTCATGTTTTTATGAACCAACACCTTCACCAAGTAGCTTTACAGTGAACTGCATGTGAGATATAAAATTAATAGCATCTTTTCAGTAGCATTAATTATAAATATTTAAGTGGTTCAATACAAGTCACTACAGCATTTCAAACTGAACTGTGAATAAATGCAATTTAAAAAAAATAACCACAGCACAAAATGTCATAAATTGTGTTTTTTCTTTGTTTCTCTGAGGATTATTTACAAACAGGCTTGTTTACATATAGCAATAACTCAGAAATGAAAAAAGCTACATCGTCTAACACGAACAACAGTTAGCATAATGATAATATATGTGTTATGTACATGTAACTGGCAAGGCTAGAGCAAGAAAGAACATAAAGTTTGCAAAAGGTTTAAATAACTTCAAGTATCTGTCTTCAGATTACGTGGAGGTTTTAGTCCGATGGGAAGCAGATTTTAAGCGACACCGAAGATAAACCAAAAATGTGGTGGAGCTGCAAACCGTGTAGTGTTGCTGGGACAGGAGCTATAACCGTTGGAAAATACATCACAGACAATGCAACAAACGTGGAGACAGAACAATCACTTCTGTGATAAATGCCCACTTATTAATAAACTTCTAACAACCATGGGAAACCTCCTCTCTACATATAAAGTGATATCCAAGCATGGGAAACAAAAGACAGCATTTACCTGTTTGCAATCCAGCTAGCCAAGCCTTTCTTGTGTACCAGCTACTTGTGAAGCCTCGTGTATAAATGTTGTCTTTTTCACGAGATTGCTTGCGATATATTCAAATCGGGTTGGTCCGGTGCAAGGTCTTTAAGCAACAATTTATCTGCCAAACTTCTCCTTTCGAAAGGATTGGAGATTAGCTCTTGAACAGAATTAGGCGGGGACCGAGGGTCCGGAGACTCCACCTGCACACGAAGCCATCCTCATCAACTACTGCGTCAACCGGATACGAGTCACTGTCCAAACTACTCACAGACTGCACTGGGCGCTGACATTGGCGCCCGGTGACCGTCATCTTTGACGACGCTGATTGGCTGAAATTATATTTTCGCGGCATAGTTTACACGTTACAGATAGCAACAGTCAGCTGCTGGTGGCTGCTGCTGCACTGGTTGAAGGCTCCTCTCTTAGCGCCCAGACGAGAGAAGGTGCATGGGCAAGGCCAGGCAGGAAACATGTGACTTATCAGTAACTTTAGACATCGTAACACAATTTTAAACGAGATTTTATTGTAGATTATACATTTTACTGATACCAATTATATAATATTTACCTTGTTCATTAAAAATAAAAATAAAAACATATATATTTTTTTAAACATATATTTTTTTTTTTTTTTAATTTTAATTATTATTATTTTTTTTTTTTTTCAATATGGGAAGAGGTGGGGCGGCGCCCCTAGCGCCCCTATGGACCGGCCGCCACTGGGTAGAGCCAAGTAACCCAGGTGGATGCAATCAGGCCTCTGTTTTTAGATGGGGTTTGTGGCCATGCTGTAGGCCTGACATTTAAACCATAGACCGTATATATAAAGATTTAAACTAGCTGAAGGGCTTTCTGTTCGAACCACAGTGACATCTAGAGGTTGTTTTGTGCATAACATGTCAACCAAAAGGTAGAGCTGGCTGAATCAGATGGAGTTAAACTTTTTTTTTTTCAACAAGATATCAAGACACAAAATGTGCTCTACCAAATGGTGGCGCTGGCAGTTAAAGGGTTACCTTCTGAAAGTGAGGAAGTATGACCAGCTTTGTCCCATAGGATTATACAGGCCAGTCCATTGCTGCTTGTTTAAGGAGTTAACTATTTCCAATATTAAAGTCACTGAAATTGTATTCTATTTTATTCACCTATAGACAAACAACACAACACTCCGTGATGGAGCACGCCCAGAGCTCAACAAATTGGACTCGGACACAATGAAACACTGGCTTGCTTGTATCAAATCAATACAATTCCCACATGCCCTACCCCGGAACCTGCGGTCTTCAGACTCTGGCCCCCCGCACCAACCTGCGATCCTTCGGGGACAGAGCCTTCAGTATGGCAGCCCCCACTCTCTGGAACGCTCTCCGTGCGGAGATCTGCAACATCCCCACGCTTGACGCCTTCAAAAGGGCCCTCAAGTCTGCCAAGGTCTTTGGCCCCAAATCTATTGTGTTGTCTGTCTAACTGTTCGTCTAACTGCCTTTTGTTATGTTTGTTTCTACTCCTGTTCTTTTTAAAGCGACCTTGGGTCTCATGAAAGGCGCTATATAAATCCAAGTTATTATTAATACATCATTGGAACGGTAAGAATCTCAGCTACAACACTGACTAAAGCCTTCCCATCTCCAGTATGCCTACATGACAAGCATTTTTATAATATACAGTAAACATATCTTTGACTTATTAGAGAAGAGACAATCATCAAGCCAGATACCAAGGTATTTACAACAGGCAACCACTTCAATTACTTTTCCTTTATGTTATTGTTATTTGGTTTTTATTAGTGCTTTTGTCGTTTTGAAGGAAATTAAAATACTGTATTGA